TTGAAAGTTGCGGACAAGTTGCTGCGGACACACACACAGAAAACCCCGTGACAATATGCGTTTTGTACTGCTGTTACACATGACAAAACGCAAAAAAACGCATGTTGCGACGACCCTGCCTGCGTGTATATGTTTATGTGCGTGTGTATGTTCGTCTGTGCGGATATTTCAACTCGGCAACAAATCAAGCTCCGGCGCTAAAATTTTGCCAATTGCTTCCCTGGCCAAGTGTCACCCCAGAACCGCGGTACCAACTCCCACGCACTCCTGGGCCCCGCGTACGAGGGGGTGAAAATTTTAGCGGGAAAATTGATAACTCGGGAACGAGAAAAGATAGCTGAATTTTTGAGGTTATGTCCCCTGTCCACATATAACACAAAAATTTCAAATTCAGCCCTCAGGTGTGCGTGGTTCCAGCGTACAGCCCCAGAGAGTTCCTGGCGCGAAAATCGCTAGCTTGGGAACCAAGCAAGCTGGGAGGCTTAAATTTTCAGGAAATGTTCCCAGCATAGCTACAACATGAACCTATCAAATTCAGGCCTCAGTCGTACGGGGTTCTCACATATGGTCCCTTGAAATTTTTTGGCGGGAAAATGGCTAACTTAGGAACTACCAAAGCTGGGAGGCTGAAATTTTCAGGGAATGTCCCCAGCCCGTGCACGACTTGAAGTTATCAAATTCAGCCCCCAGGAATGCGCGGTTCACAAGTTCCGTCCCGTGACACTTTTTTGCGCGAAAATGGCTAACTTGGGAACCTGGTAAGCTGAAGGGCTGAAATTTTCAAGGGACGTTTCAGCCTATCTACAACTTAAAAATTCCAAACCCGGTCCCCAGATATGCTCCCAGGCCAGTTGCAGCCATGTAAAAGTTTTGGCGTGAAAATTGCTACCTCGGAAACCAGAAAAGCTGGAAAACTGAGATTTTAGGGGAATACTCCCCGTCCAAATACAACCTAAAGGTTTCAAATTCAGCCTCCATGTACTCGTGGCTTTTGTGTACGGGCACTCAAATTTTTGTCGGGGAAATTACTCACTGAACATCTGGGTCATTTTCAAATCATTGGCGACACGCACCTGGCTGGCCCGTGCGATCATGCGTTTTTGCAATATTTCGTGCCATAATGAGATCGCTCGAAAACCCAATAGCTGGAAATGTGTGATATACTGGTCCTCGAAATCAGGGAAATTGTCTAGCAGTATTTGATAGGGGACATTTCGTTGAAACTTCAGCTTTCCAAATTTTCTTCTTGAGTTAACAATTTTCCTGCCAAAAACATTCACAAGGCTGTATAAGCCAATCGCGTAAGCCCGGAAGGCTGAGTTTGACAAATTTAAGCCGTACATGCACTGGGATCATTCCTTGAAAATTTCAGTCTGCGGGCTTTTCTGGTCCCCGAGTTACCATTTCTGGGCCAGAAATTTTCATGGGGCCGTACTTGAAAAACACTCGCGCTGAAGGGCTGAATTTGATAACTTTAAATTATTTGGCACAGTTCAACTGAACAAGAACAGCTCGTCATGTGTTTTAACGAGGTAAAAGCCTGAGCAAATTATGAATTTTGCGGAATGGACACTTGTTACTTTTAATGCCTTGTTCCCCAGTTTCCGGCTGTGGCCTAATGAGCTGCAAGCAACATTGAAATTTAAGTCGTTGACTGTTACCTTACCAGATTGTCCTCAAAATCATTTTTACTGTCATTAAAGCAGCCGTTGTTGATTATTATAAGGCCGTCTTTCGGGGTAGCACCAATTGCGGTGCGTAAATTCGGCATAGTTTCTATCGAAATCATTCCATCAGCTGCGTTTGATGCGGGCCTTGACAATGATTCTGGCACATCCCTGAACACAGTCGATGTTACAGTAATCCTCATTAGGTACATTAAGAAAATGCACATTCATCGTAGTCCAGTAATACAGGTAAAATATGTAGCGCTTCAGCAATTGTAAGATTATCATACTTGATACTAATGACACGATACCGTTGAATTTAAGCTGGCCTTTTCCGACCTTATTTCGTACTTACAAGCTTACTTCACCACCATGGACCACTACAGAATGACCGGCCTAGGTTCAACTGTACTCCTGGCGTTTTTGGTCCTGAAAACATACACCAAAATGCCCTTAAACCTTGCAAAACAAGTCAAATGGAGAAAATAAGACATCGAATATTTGAGTAAAGTGCCGAGTGTAGCGTATTAGTAAGTGATACTCGCAAAAAAGAAGTCCTCCAACGAGTTACGAAGAGGTGGCGCACATACATTAAACAAGGCGATTTGTACTAACTGGAGGCATGCGGGGTCGAAGACCTTGGACGGCGTGAGGTAGTATCCCACAAAAATCATTAACATAGGATACCCGTACAGATAGCCTGTACTGTCCTGGTATTTCAGCAAACAATTTTTAGAAGCATACTTTTTATCATGTTGAAATTCACGAGTACTTGGCGATCGTTCGCAGCTGTTTAGATCTGCACCAGTTATTTCCACCGAGAGATCCTTGCCATTCATATCCAACTGTGTTAAAATGTATTGGATGAAACAGAGACAGAAAACATATCAGCTTTCGCTAAACAAGATTATCTACTCACCTACCTAACTTATCCTACTTTTTTTTCCTTCTCCCTTTCGTTTTCACTTTTCCTATCTGTCTTTGTTCGCACTCCTCCCCCCTACCTATCATCCCCTCTTGGGCAATATCTCACTGGACTACTCAGTTTAAAATCTAGGTAGTGAAGCACTAGCTTGCCGGTGTGAGCATGCGTTTTTTGCACAGTTTTTTTCACAAATGCGTATAACTACGTAGCACAGTTTTTTGCACATACTTCTAGCTAAACGGACTGAAAATGGCCACTACACTGCATAACCCAACAAACACGATAGTGGGCTATGCTCAGAATTTCAACATAGTTTTGATTGCGGAGTTACCTCAAATCTTGCTTGCTTGTGAGTGAGGGAAGACATCAGTGCCTCTAACTTCCAGTCGCCGCATAACTTCTTTGTCTTCGCTCCTTCCCTCCCCACCTCATCCTTGCCAAAATAAGCTGCAAAGGTGAAGGCCACGCACAAATGTTTTACTTTAAATAGCTGCAGTTCATAGTGTGAATTATCCAAGTGTGCGCTACCAGCGTTTGAGGGAAAAATTTTTGAGCAAGTAAACCCTTAAGGAACGCCAGCATACATGTCAGTGGATGATGCAACATTGGCCAAAGCAATTAGGAAGTTGCCGATAACATACGTTTAACGCAAAATAACAAAACATATATACCACATGCGATTGGTGGTCGGCATCATTGCGCCTTACTAGCAAGTCATCTTCATATTCTTTGTCCACGTTGATCTCATCTTCTTCTGGAAGTATGCCAGTATCGGAATCTTTCGGCGAAACCATTTCCGCTGTGCTCCCTTCTGCATTTTCATTTCCTGCGAAAAAAAAAATTCAGCTCAGTCACTGATATGTAAAAAATTTCCTAAATCTCACACCTTCAAAGCCCCTATTTCATCCTTTTGTATGGGAAATGTCAGTTATGATGGCTGAAAACAAGCACTTCCAGTTTGAATAACCTGTGCG